TTAGTGCGTCATCATTATAAATATTGACGACGAAACACATTTGCGTAGCAAATTTTAATATGCGACACTTTATAAACCTCGTTATAACGAATTTTGTTGACACAAAATTTATGCATTGATAAATCATACATTTAAAGAATATAGATTGAGACAAAAAATGAAAATAGTATCATCTAATAATATTGTAGCCATCTCACAAAACACAAAGTCTTACAATTTAAAATACAACTATTCAGACATGAAAAGTAAGGGCTTGATTGTTTATGAAATAATTTGTTCAAATTGAGTTATTTTGGTTAACTATAGTTAATTTTGAAAAAGGTGGTATGGTTAGTTGTAGTAGAATTTTAAGAATGTATTAAAATAATATTTAAAATAAAATAATTAAAATTGATTTGATGTAAAAGTAAGAGATAAATGATTGTATATGATAGGTAGTTAAAATTATGTGAGTGGATGAATAGTGAATTAAAGTTGATGTATGTGTAAGAATGATTGGTTTGTATTATTTAACTATATGAATAATATTAAAGATAGTAAGATTGAGTTAAAGTTGAGTTAGATTTTGAGTTGAAATAAAAGTGAGTAAATTATTTGGTAAACAATCACCCCCTAAATAATATTTTAGCAATCCAAAAACACACCGATAGACTTCCCATTTCTTTCTCCATGGAGACTGCTCTGAAGGTAACACGACATTGTTTGTTGGAGTACTAAGTAACTTTCAAGCAAGCGATGATTCCCTTCGTTCATGTCTTCCAACAGTGCAATCACCAAGCTGTTGCCGATAACGTCTATTCGAGTACTAAGTAACTTTCAAGTAAGCGATGATTCCCTTCGTTGGTAGTATGTGCCAACAAGTGAAAGTTCCTGACCTGGGGTCCCAAAACTTTATCGTTTTATCCCAACTACCGGTGATAACTTGGCCTTAAATAGTGAGGTTATAAACAACAGAAATATATGTCAATTAGGTGCGTGCGCCCGTGATTAGAAATCTTGCAAATAAAATTGTTTTCTGGTTAAGTAAATCGTTCGTCAACAAACTTTGCTAACTTTACAAAATTTGAGATTGAACAACATGACATGAACACATAATTAGCAATAACATACAAATGAGTAATCCACTACCAAAATCACATATTCAAAGCGTTTCAGCATCTATATACTACACAACAATTGCATTTTAAGTCGAACCCTCAAACTTAAAAAGCAAAGCCTTCAAACTGAGTTTATGTCTTAATCAATACTGAAAACAAGCTTGGACCCAACAAGGGCCTCGTGACTCTCTAAAATATCCTTTGTATTGTAGTTGAACACAAGCTTGGAACAAAAAAAA